CTGCTGCAATAAGTTACTATATATAACAATGCTATAACTCTTTAACATATATTGACGTCTCTACCATAAATCCTGTTTCACAATAAGGCTCAGTGTTAAATCTCAAAAATGTCAAGCTGGCAACGAATGTCTGCTCATAATCCCAATCATGTATTCTTAGAGCAGATACTTATTTTGCTGGTGTTGCATGTTCACATGTTGACCAAGTACAGACAAGAATTCTGACCTGTCTGCTGAGTATATGGAACGACAGCTCTAACAGACATGAATGTTGAATGAATGTTCAATTCAATTCAATTCAATTCAATTTTATTTATATAGCGCCAAATCACAACAACAGTTATCTCACAGCGCTTTTCATAAAAGAGCAGGTCTAGACCGTACTCTGTGATGTTATTTACAGAAGCCCAACAGTTCCCACCAAGAGCAAGCACTAGGAGACAGAGGCAAGGAAAAACTTCCTTTTAAGAGGCAGAAACCTCGAGCAGAACCATGGCTCAGGGTGGGCGGCCATCTGCCTCGACCGGTTGGGGTGAGAGAGAGAGAGAGAGAGAAAGAGAGAGAGAAAGAGAGTGAAAGAGAGAGAGAGAGAAAAAGAGAGTGAAAGAGAGAGAGAGAGAGAAAGAGAGAGAGAGAGGGATGTAAGGAGAGAGAGAGAGGGGAGGGAGGCAGCCTACACAATATACACACAGAGGTACAGACAGTGAAGGTAATGTTGCTATAAACTAAATGAAAAATGGTACAGATATTTATAATAGTGTTAATGGTAACCATCTATGTTCAACATACAACGTCATTCAGGGGGGTTGTGTTTAAAGATTATATAAAATTTGACTGGATTAGCCTGGGTTTAACAGAGCCACATGTCTACACACACTCTCCTCTAAAAATACATGTTTGGGTATTAACAAGCCGAGAGTTGAGAAGAACTTTTGACCCAGTTCAGAGTTCTGAATCAGGAAACTGAGAAGTAGCACTTCACTGACAGCCACAGCAACAATAAGGAGACCTGTCCTGCAGAGGAAGCATCCCAGAGTCAGATCGAACAACAGTTAACATTGACTGATGATCAGCAACCATGTGTCCTGACCATTAGCTCCTACCTGCACACTCAACCTGAATCAGAGAATATTCGCTCCTTCTCTCTGCCGTTTGAAAAACCTTAGTATAAAAGAGCAGAACTCTTCAGTGTTATTCTGGGCTGAGAGGCCCTTTGAGCGTGCTAACTGGATTAATAAAGTGTTGAACAAGGTGGCTTTTCATTCTCAGGCTTTAATATTTGAGTCTGTTTAACCTTTTCTGACCTCTTAATCATTAGATGCCAGCATACGCCAGGCTGAGCATGCTGTGGAGCCTGTTTCTGTTAAATTACAGGGTTTTCCACAACATCATTCAAGTAGTGCCGTGGCAGCGTCAACTAACTAGTTCTGTCAATTAGTTGATCTACAGGAAGTCATTCAGTCATCATTTAATTCATCTTTCAATTCATTTATCAAATAACATAAGTGCAGTCACCAGTATCAGGTTACCACAGATACATCTGTATCTCAGCTGATAAATCACAAGTAATGGATGCTGTGTGTCTGAGATCAGGTCTACACTCCAAAGTTTGTCCACCAGAGAACACAGATAAAATGTCCCATTCACAACATAAAGTGGTTCCAGTTCTTTAATTCCAAATTCAAGAGATTTTTTTCTAAAATGCTTATGAATATAAGTCAATATATTCTAATCAGCTTTTACAACTTCTTTTCAGCTCAGAAATGTTCATTGCAGTGTGTCAGATCGTAAAGATCAGATCTGGACTGACCATGACATTTTTAACAGATCATAACGGCTTTATTGAGCACGGACCTCAGCCCAATCCTTTGTTTCACATTAGCTGTCACAGAGGTGCTGTAAACGGAGAGCAGTTTGTTGCAGGATGCAAATGTCTGCAGTGTGGAAATATTTTAAATTGGAAAACTAAGGCAGTCCAACAGCCACTTGTAATGTCTGCAAGCATTTCATACGGCACCTAAAAAAAAAAAAAACAACCAACATAATACAGTTCACTCAGGTAAATCAGGCAAAGGCTGCGCCGAAGCAACACAGACTATTTGTTGTGACTGTAAACGTTAAAGTTAAGCTATTACAGCTCCTCGAAGTAGAACTACTCATTTAGTCATTTTAAAAATATTCTGTTTACTTTGTTATTTCATAAGAAGAAATTAAAAAAACAATGAGGAACAGCTTGGATGCAGGCTTTTTTCCTTAATGCATTGCAGTGCTAACTAATAGTCAAGCATATATTGGATTGATTTTAATAACTTTACTGTAGTTGAAGTGTCCACTGTGCAACTGTTTCATATAGGAAAATACAAGGATCGGATCAGGACTCTGCAGGTATCTGCAGCTAATCAATATCAAATGACTCGTAAAAAACTTGACTGGGACGTCCCGACATTAGACTACAGTTGCCATGCTACTATTCAGACTGCTGTACAGCTAACATGCTAACTGTAGCAAGATTAGTGTGGCAGAGATGAGCATGCAAGTTTCTTCCAGCTATTAAAAATACAGTTCAGCTGATTCCCGGCTCTTGTTTCTGATCTCATTTAAATCACCTGCAGCTTATATGTATAATTACAAATGGAACCAACATCAATACAAAATGAAAAATAACACAAACACACAACATGCTTTATCAGTTGGCACGAAAACTTTCAACAGTACACAGATTTCCACAGAGCTACTGGTGCCATGTTGTGCACCAGCTGCAATAATGAAATGTTTTGCTGATAAACAAAGAATCACATTAGTCAAGAGATAAATGATGAATCCAGATAGTTACAAGATAAAGAAGATAAAATTGTTTTTGGAGTTGAAAGACAAAGACACATGTTTGTCCAAGTTAAGCTTAATATCAAACATGGTAACCACATAAATGCTTCAGATCAACAGACCCGAACGTTGCTCTGCTAGCTTAGCTAGGTTTAAACTGCACCTGTGGTTTTGTCTGAACCTGAACACTGTGCCCTGCAGAAATCACCTAAACTCCTGAAGAGACCATCTGAGGTTTAACTTGCTGAAGAGCTGTTTATTTTACTGAAGTTTGAGGTCAGAAAGATCAGCATCAGGACAGATTTATACAGCAGAGACCATTTTTATTAATTTCTAAAATGTCAAATCATTTACCATGTATGTTCTTTTGAAGGCAACATACTTTATGTTATACATATACACAAGAAAATATATAATCAAATATTTACAAAAATATGTCTCTCAGTATTTCTGTCATTATATAAACTGATCCAGTTCAAGATTAAAGATAATGATTGTCAGACCTGCTGATAATGAAAAGCATCAGTTCAGTGATGGAACAATACTAATACTAACTAACTAGCAATTTACACATTTTACATAAAAAAACTCTAACACAGTCCCTCTACAAGACCAGAACTGCAAGATGAAGGACCTATCGTGGCTGAAATTCTACTCTAGTGGTGCTAATTTCTGACATGTGCAATTAATCATATTAAATGGACCTAAATAGGGTAAATCTGGGAGCCCCTATAGCTGTCTGTGGCCCCAGAACAGTTGTGCACTTTGGTAGGGCTCTTGCTATGTTACCTAGCATCTGAGTAGCTTACTGGTTTAGAGCTGGTCCAGTAAACCCTGACTGCTGCATAAAAATGAGCACAGGATCGACTGAACTGGCTGCCCAACGCAGGTGTGTCAGAGAACCTTGGCATCATGTGAAGCATTGGGAGTGAGCATGCCTGATGGCTTCCCAGCATGCAGTGGGGTAACATCTCTGATATCATCCTTTTATCTGTGTTGCTGCACTTTTATTGGTGTTACAGTCTTCACACTTCGCACTGTTGTACAATTATTCATGTTGGCCAGCTGTGTATTCGGGGTGTGGCTTAGCGAAGGGTCAATTAGGCCCAATTTGGACATTTTCACTTACGGGTGTCCTCACTTTTGTTGCCAGCGGTTTAGACATTAATGGCTGTTTGATGTGTTATTTTGAGGGGACAGCAAATTTACTCTGTTATCCAGACTGTACACCCACTACTTTACATTGTAGCTAAGTGTCATTTCTTCAGTTTTGTCACATGAAAAGATATAATCAAATATTTACAGAAATGTGAGGGGTGTACTCACTTTTTTTAGATACTGTAACTGTTTGTTTGTCTGAGTATTTAACTAGGAGCATAATGTGTCCTGTTTATACGGAGCTGCATTGATTTACAGCAGACACGAGGCAGAGCTGCGAACAGGTCCAGTGATGAGTGACATTTTCAGAGGCAGTTAAACTTTCTGTTCATGAGACTCAGCAGAAACACTGCCAGGAGAAAATCACGAAACACTACCATTACCAATGACCTTCAATAACCTTACACTACCTTTACAGCTTCTAGTAGAGTTATTCAGTGTTTAGAGCAAAGTTCAGATGTTACATCACAATAAGGATCCTCATAGACATGCCTGAAAAATCACATTTGATACACCCCTGGATATTAAAGCGAGTTAAAGAAAGCAGAGAACAGAGGCTCCTTCAAAGACAACTAAACATTTCTATAATGACTAGAGCAATAGGAGATAATCTTTCAGTGGAAGTAAATTAGAAGAGCTTTAATTTCTAACATTATGGAGATGAATACTTGACAAAGCAGTGACATGATTGTATTTGATGAAAATAATCACTATATGGACCAGGCCACACCACACCCACAGCAACACTGATGAAATTATAACTTATTATATAATAAAATGAAAATGAAATTACATATTCACTACAAGCAGGCATATTCAGTATTCTTATCACGGTGTGAACGCTTTTGAAGCACTCTACACTTATTATTGAATATGTCATTATTCCCAGGTGAGTGGCAGTCTGATCTCTGAAGATCACGACCCTTCACACTGACCCATGACACCAACAGATCTCATCTGGAAGGCTCCACAGGTGTTTCCTCTTGGCATCGTTACCTGTCATCAAAGTACGTACTCACCCGCAGAAGTGCGCTTTAATTTTCACCAACTCCGAGTTCAAGTTGTCCATTATGGATCCGTTTGAGGCCAGCATGTGCATTGTACAGTTCGGTGTGCCTCCCAACCAGCCCAACGTGAAGCGGACAGGCCCAAACTAGCTGCACCGCACGCTCAGGTCGGGGGAGAAATGTTCACATAAGAGTTCCAGGGGCCGCTGCGTCTGTCACTGTCGAAAGAAAACTTGTCGAGCTAAGTTTCTTTCGTTTAGGCGACATTAGAGGCTTCTCCGGCGGAGTACCTGTCAAGGTTGAGCTAATGACACCATCACTTCCGGCTTAGTAAGTATCACAATAAAACATAACAGACAAAAACACGCTGTAAAGGCATTCAGGATTACAGTAGCGCTTTTATTTTGAAACACAAACCTCTCAACAGCTGATGGTGCGAGCGGAAACTTCTCTGTTTGTTCTGGCTCTCTATGGTTACTGGATCCAAATTCACCTGTCCCACTGTTTCTAACGGGCCCTGCTGATTGGCCCCAACAAAAGTCTTTCTATTCACGTGAGGGTTTCTACACAGGGTGGCAGTGAAGAGTTTATCAGGAACATATTGATTATTGTGTTTTTCCTCTCAAACAGGTCAGTCCACTCAGGCATGAATACTTAATGAGGCCTTCATGGTTTCATCTCTCCTGATGTAATGTCCTTTTCATATTCCTGCATTAGAGGTGGTCTCTTTACATTCCCTGAAATAATTACTTGATCATTTGTATACATGTTTTTGAACATTATGTTTTAATAAAAGGCTGTATGGGGGGGGGGGGGGGTATGTATCACATGAACACCCTCAACGACAACTCAAACATAAACAGAATAAACACATCTTGTTGATGGCTGAAGCCTCCACTGCAGTGATGCAGTTGTCAGGCGCCACCTGCTGGTTGATTAATAAACTGCTTCAACAAGACATGACTGTTGCAACAAGCTAATTTATTGGACAGGTTAAAGTTCATTGCACAAACCAACATTCCCTTTAACCAAACCTGAGGATATTTTCCTCTCCTCTGTTCCACACGGAATAAAATGATGATGAGCTTCAGTAACAGATTTTGGAGGAAACATATGTTCGATGTGTTATTTGGATCTTATATTCAAACAAAGACCAAAACATCACGCACAAGCCCAGATACCAAGAGCATTACATCTAAACATCACTGTGCATCCATAATGGGATCATACCTGGTGTTCCAGGTCCAAACTGGGCTGTGGGCCCTTACTGACCCCTCTCTGCCCCACTCTCTGTGCACCAACCAGAGCTTAAACTATACAGCCCAGATTCCCCATTAAAATAGTTTTTATTTGGGAGCTTTTCCTCATCCAGCTCGAGAGTCTAAGGACAAATTTAACAAATTAAATTGATGTTAAATTCCACTTTGTTCATTCATTTAAAAAAAAAAAATCTGAAACAGCTGAACAAATCAGAGATGTGCACCACTGCTCTTCTTTTTCTACTGTAGGCCTATTTTTATGTGATATGATGGATTCTATGTAGTCTACTCTTTTAACTTTTCAATTTTTTAAATTAGCCTATCAAGTGAGTTTTATTATTCATTATGGAATTTGTCAATGGCAACACCAGTAGCTCCATCAAACTTCACAACATGTTTGTTTTTTCATTAGTTTTCTTCCGACTTTATAGCTGAAACATGTGTCACAGACACTTGGACTTGGACTTAAGGCTGCTACTTGAGGGCCAGTCTGGTTGGCGAAGCAACAGAAATCAAAGCCTGCAGTGCCCACATCATCAGAGTGATGGCTTGTGGAAAGAAACTGCTCCTGAGTCTGTTGGTTTTGGCGTACAGTGCTCTGTAGCACCAGAGATCAGAAGCTCAGGTTGTGTCCGGGGTGAGATGAATCTGCAGTGTCTGGATCTGCATGTTTCCTGCCTGTTTCCTGACTCTGGAAATGTATAAGTCCTGAATGGAGGGCAGGTTGGCACCGATGATCTTTCCTGCAGTCCTGACTGTCTGCTCCTGTCCTTTTTGGTGGCAGATCCAAACCAGACAGTGATGGAGGTGCAGAGGACAGACTGGATGATGGCTGTGTAGAACTGGATCAGCAGCTCCTTAGGCAGGAAGTACATCCTCTGCTGGGCCTTCTTGATGATCTCCTGGGATATAGTGGAACCCAGAAACCTGAAGGATTCCACAGCAGACACAGGGCTGTTTAGAATGGTGATTGGGGGGCAGAGTGGGGGGGCTCCTCCTGAAGTCCACGGTCATCTCCACAGTTTTGAGCGTGTTGAGGTCCAGGTTGTTCTGACCGCACCAGAGAGCCAGCTGATCAACCTCCTGTCTCTTAACACAATTCCACAACTTCTCACCCAATTCCCCAAACGTCCTATTTTCAGGTCAAAATGAAGCTCTCCACTCAAAACCATTCAATCTTGCTGAAAAAACTAAATTTGCCCTCAGACATGACACACAAGCCCTCAGAAACACACACACTACGACACAGCCTGACACACTGGTGAGATAATTATTATTCCTTGGTGTACTGTACAGTACAACACACCAAACAAGAAATTATTCTGCCCCAGCGTTCTGTCTTTGCTCTGGGACAGGCCAGAGATTCTCGTTCTCCACCTTCTTCTCCATCTCCTCCTCCTCCTGCTCCGCCTCTTCCACCTCCTCATCTTCCTCCTAGCCCATCTCCTCCTCCAACTGCTACTGTTTCTCTTCCTTCACTTCTTACTCCTCTCCATACTCTAGATCCATTGTTCCAAAACTGAATGAAGTGATTCTGGCCCTTTTATCTATCTATTGAAGGTTTTGATTGGTGTGTTTCCACCTGGGTAGCTGTGAGCTAATTGAGCTCAACCTGTGCTGACTTGAGTGAACAATATTGAATCTAAGTGTTTTCTCAATGACCACATGGAGAAGGCAATGAGGAATGAAGGGACTTGTGTGTAGAGTTTAGAGAAATGCGTGTGCATTTTGAAAAATGGAGTTATGGTTTTGAAATTTTAGTTCAAAAGCCTGGTGAATTGACAAAAACTGTAACATCATGGCCCAGTTTCTCCATGTTACTACTTGTTATTCCTTCACTGCTAAACACTCAAGGCTCTATCTAGCTGTATCAACTTATTATCACACTGAAGGTCTGTTTGTATCCTCACGTAGGAAAAATAAACAGTATCAGGTAGGATATCAGGCCGGCCATCGGATAACATTCTCTAGGTTAAAGATGGCTGAGGTGACCTACTCCAGTTTGTGAGGCTTATCAGAAAGGACATGGTGATGTGTTTGTATCACTGAACTTATGGAGTGAAATGACAGACTTACTGTTACTTTACTGCAAATTTAGACATGTCCAGATATGTGAGAGGAAACCATTGAAACTATCTACAGGGTGTTACATTAAGCTCTGTGCTGAAACCTTTAAAGCCCTGTACAGCCTCACAGGTGTATTGGACATCTGATCAGGTGGGAGTTAGGCCGATGTGCTGGGCAATAAAGTGCACCACAGTGACATCTGCTCATAGGTGGAAGGACGTGACCAGTGCCAGTGACTCCTTGCATAGTTAGCGGTGGACTGCTGAGCTAACCGGTTAAGCTCACGATAGCTCATGGAGCGTCTCTCTAGTTTCCCTCCACTGGTCTGTTTACCTTCACCTTCACATTTGGTTCACCAATCAATTAAAATTTTTAAACGGGAAATTAAAGCTCTTTGCATGGAGGGATCCATGTAGGCCCAAAAATGACATCAAAACCCTGTGACACCCCGTCGCACATTAGAGATGTAACCGTTTAGCTTAGATTATAAACACTCAGCAAAAAAACTATTCGGCCATCAGTGACGCTGCGTTGGTGTTTCACAGGTGAGAATCGTAGGTGGGCTGATTACATACAGTCTTTCTCAATTGTTTGCACACAAATTCTGGTACTTGAGACACAATGACCACAACATGTAACTCATTCACCAACCCCCTGAACCAATTCTGCTAAACTACAAGTACAATTCCTGCTTTACACTCAAATTGCAGTTCTAAAAACACACTTTTTTCAAAACACTACACACAATTCTCTGCTTTTGCACAAGTTTCATGCAGAAAATATCTTGTTTTCACAAGGAACACACTGCCATTCAAATATGCACACAGACTCATCACAAGGGCAAACACCCGTCACACAGTTTTCCAATTAGCAATCAGAGCTTTAGCATAAAAGGCCAACAGGTGAGCTCGTCAATGGAGCAATGGATGCCAACATTGGAAACAGACGCAGCGGCGTGAGAGGACGAGGACGAGGACGAGGACGAGGACGAGGACTGTAATCTCTGATGAGATCCGAGCCACTTTGGTTGATCAGAGTACAGCCAAATCTGAGCAGGTACACTGTCACCATCATCCGGACTTTCCGAAATGAGAATAGGTAAGAAATCTACTCTCACTAGCAAATTGCAGTACTGCATATCAATACAGTACTCAATGAGTACAGTAGTACAGTATTGCCTGTGAACTGTTCTGTAGGACTGTAAAAATACTGTAAAGTATGTTTCAAGTATTTAGGAAATGTATACCTACTTTGTATTGACAGTATTTTACTACTTGTTTGGCAGAACTGAAAGATTACCAACACAAGGTGGTCAGGAACGTCTTCTTGCGCAGAAATCATCTCAGGATGAAGCAGGTCTACAGGGTGCCATTTGAACGCAATTCAGAAAGAGTCAAAGAATTGAGATAACTATGTGCAAGTGAGTCCCACAATTGATGCGTACTCAACACTGCATACAGTAAATTATACATATTTCAATATTGTAATCATAATGATTGTGCTTCACAATAGCGACCACTCCATGTCTATTTCTGATATTGTCATGTGTGTTTCAGAGAGTCCTTGAGCTAGAGGTGGCTGCAGTGGAGCACCAGTTCATCTTCATTGATGACGTTGGGTTCAACCTCACAAAGACGAAAGAGGGGAAGGAATGTCATCGGCCAGCGTGCCATTGTTGAAGTCCCTGGCCAGCGCGGAGGAAACATCACAATGTGTGCAGCGATTACCCACCACAGCGTCATCCATCACCATGCTACCCTTGGCCCCTCCAACACCGCCCATCTGATCACATTCCTGGACACCCTACACAACACACTCATTCCACCAGATCAGGTAGATGGCCCAGAGCAGCTCAGGTTCCACAGGGCTGCTCTGGTTCGTAACTGGTTCACTGCCCACCCACGCTTTTTAGTGGTTTATCCCCCTCCATATTCTCCATTCCTCAATCCTATTGAGGCTTTTTTTTCCTGCCTGAAGAAGGAAAGTGTCTGCCCGAAATCCACAAACGCATATACCTCTCCAAGCTATGGAGGATGCATGGCGATATTTCCCCCGCTGCTTGGCCAGGGAAGACATTGCTTGTGATGTGGATGAGGTGCTGTGGCCAGACCGCAACAGAAGAGAGGATGCAGCATAGTTTGTGTTTTTATTTTTTACTGTAACTGTGTACAGTAAATTCTTTTTTGTATGTAGTGTATGTGCAACTTTGTGTTGGTTGGGAATGGGATGTACACTGTACATCAAATAAAATATATTTTACCGTGTATTTGTGTGTGCGGAGTATTAAACAATATTCTCAAATATTTTACAACACACTTTTGTATGTACTGTCTGTAAGTGTAACACTGAACAAAAAAAGGTCTAAGTCATTATGATGAATGGGGAAGTGTTTTCCATTGAGCACATCAGTGTTCAAC